TTATTATGCTTACTAAATCCCTAAATTTTGTTTAAAGATTCATTGGTTTTCCTGGAATTCCTGCAAGTTTCCTCCAGTTTTCTTTTTCAGGAAATCTCATTACGGTCTCCCAGTTTTCCCTAAGCTCTCCGAATTCCTGTGACATTCTCAACTTCTCAAGTACTGCTCTTATGTACCTACCACAATTCCTCTAACATATTTATTATTCTTCTCAACACCCCTATTTCTTCTCAAAATTCATTAGTTATCCTTAAACCTCACAAAATCCTTTCAATTTATTCAGTATCATTGGTTTTTCTAGAATCTTCACAAGTCTCCTTCAGTTTTTCAGGGAAATCCTATTATGTTTCCCCAAAAATTTAGGGGAATTCTTACAGGAGAGCTCACAGGTTAGGTACTCTGAAATTCTCACAATTTTTCTTTTTTTTCTTCATTTATTCATATAGAAAAACACATTGCTAAAGTATTGATAAGCTACTTCGTTATTCATTTAGGACTTAACGGACAAAAAATACCCCGTTTATCTTTGTTACCATTGTTACCAACTAAAAAACTAAATTGACCCTGCAAAGTATAAATCAATAATCCTCAATTATGCTGATTAATCTTGAATATTGTGCTTTATCTCTTTTAACCAGTTTGTGACAGGAGTAGAGTAGGTTAGTTCTTTCTTTCTTGAATTGAATCCCATGATTGCTCTTATGTACCACAATTCCTCTAAAATATTCATAATTCTTATTCTTACCGCCCTCTCCGTTCTTCTAGAATTCCAACAAGTGTTCCTTCAATAGGAGTGTTTCCTGTATTCAAATTTGTATATATAACTGTGAAGTTTATGAGTTCACAATCTCATTGTTATCTGTTTATTTATTTTTTCATGGTGTAGCTAGAGTAAATATATATATGAGCTGTTTCCGTTGTATTCGTTGATTCATTTGTTGATTATTGTGATTGATATGAATAATGGGAATCCCCATTATCTCAATGTTCCCTTGAAATTGAAAACCCATCTTCCTTTCGAATTCTCAAAAATTCTACCTAAAAAATCGGTTGTCAAAATCCTACAAGTCCTCCCCTGAATTACCTTGATAATTCTCAATTTTCTATTAGTTCTCTTTTAATTCCTACAAAATGCGTCATTCTTAATAAATTCCGATAAATAACAAACAAAATGATAGGCAATTGGAAACTTTTATGCAATATTTACCTCAATTTTAACCTTGACCCTACAAGGTTGTCGACCTAATTAGAATCAGAATAAGCAAGGACGAACAACCCCATTACTAAAAGCGAGACTAAAAGTATCATGGTCATCTGAATTTTATCAATTCCATTTTCTATAACAGTTAACAAAAACAGATTTGAAAGAATATATTATAATCTTTCAAACTGTGACAAAACCAACAATGTTGTATGTATGTTTGAATGTTAACGTTAAAACGTTATGTAGCATGCAAGGTAGCATGATTTCTTGATCGATTTTACGTTGAAACGATGATGAAAAAGTTATGGTCAAGGAATCAACGATCTTCATTCAAATAGATTGTAGTTCCAGTTAGAGTCATTTTCTACCTATCTATCCCTATATGCCCTTTTCTCCTTTGTTTTTTCAACTATATTTTTGAAATTTGGAACATCGAATATGCTCAATAGAAGGCACTTCCTCACATCTTAGGATTTTTTTTCATCTTCCGGTTTTCCTGGAAATGACATCAACTTTCGATTATATTATTGAATCTTTGAATATTCATGGAAAGCAATGGAGTTTTACGCACTAGTCGAATTTACGCCACAAACTTATTTCATATTGATCATTTCGTGTATAAACAGAAGTTGTTGCAGTCATTGGTTGTTTAAAATCATCGCAAATATATTGTTTTCAATAATAAATCGAACCGAAAGTCTTCGTTATCTGAATTCTGGCTTTCGCTTAAAAAGTAGGATCACATATTTCGACACTGCCAGATTTGTAACTAGTAATAACCTTATGAGATTCAATATGATCAATAAGAACAGTATTCACATTCACAGAAAACAATAGGTCGACCTGGTCCCTAATATTCCTAATAAAGATCGAGATTTTATTTAAACCCGCATTATTTTGTGGCACTGGCAACAGCGTGATGCCTAGAGTTCCCAGAAATACAAGAAGAGAAGAAGAAGACGAACTTCATTGTCAACCTAATTTACTAACGTCACCTTCATCCGTTTCATCTTCAAATCCTTGTTTCATCTAGTCAAGATATGAATATTCAAAGATATTCCTTTTATCATCTGATTCTTCAGTTGTGTGTTGTGTTCTCTATTACCTGCAGTGAGTATTCAGTCCAGGAAATTCACTAGAGCACCTTCTGAGCAGGTTAACTTTTTTCATATTTTGATTGAAATGACAATGTTATGAAATATTGTGAATATCAGTAAATTGAAAAAAAAAATGTAAAAAACATCAGTGAATTAGTTAGGGATGGTTAGGGTTAGTACTTCGAAATAATGAAATAATATGTTTCAGGGAAACAGGCCGATTCAAAAATATATCACCGATAGGATTTGTATACAGTGTGTCCGTTAGATTCACTAGTGGATGAATCGGGTTGCCATTGAAAAAAATATCGATGTCATTTCTCCTACACGAATCATTAGAAAGAATGTTTGAAATAGAATAAGATACGACGAGTTCGAGCGTTCTTTCCAAAAATTGTTCCTTCAATTTTTTTACAAATTTATTTACTAATTCACCAGAGCCCAGAGCACTGAATTTAAGGAACGTACTTTATACAAACCCAATATATTATGATATATTTTTTCCATGGAGATTCCATGAACTGAATAACATATAGGGTGTTCCATTTGAAGAAAATCATTGCGGACGTCATCACTCAAACGGGGATCACCCTGTATATTCAAAATACGTTGGTAAATTGGGATCAAGAATCGACCTGTTTCAGGAGATTCCTCAGGAATGGACAGTTAAGCAAAAAATGAATTTAATAAGTACTCTACGAAAGCGTCGGAAGCCCAGTTATCATAGTTATTTCGTAGAATTTTTTAGTTATCACCTCGGTTATCACCGAGTTATCACTTGAAACTCTAAATGTTAGAATAAATAAGTAGCCGCCTCAATCCATTTTTTCTATTATCTTTTTTATCAACAGATATAAACATTGCTTCGTACATATAGGTTTAATAGACCCAAAATAAACATCTCTAAATCTATCCTAATTTTTCAATTAGACAGAGCTATTTTAAATTAGGTAGTTGCTCTTTGGATGCACTCCATAGTCTCCATAACTTTCATGGGAGTTATAAATAGCTGGTTTATTTTTAGTTACACATAACAAACTTATTAATAGACAATAATAAACTTGATAGGACAGTGACGTTTGCTCTGTTTTATATACCTAGTTACATTCATGTTTGAACCGGTTAGCACCTGATTACAATAAATTGATTGTCCATTTGCTACAAATTGAGAGAAAATAATACTTGGAATAATCTCTTCTTTGCCTTTCAAATTTTTATTACGTCAATCTGGAATGAAGCTTCACTTCAAATCAAGCACTACAATACAATACGGTACTTTCAATTCTATGATAATTTTACGACGACAATTTTAATTCCTTATCTATCCTTATCATTTTTTTTTAAATATACATTCAATTCGGAAAGAACCAATTAATATACAGATTTCACAAGATTTTTAGGTTTTTATATTGATGGATCATTTGAAAAAAAAAACTGTATCCTATCACTGGTGGTATTTTATTCAAAATTCGAAAGTTTATACCTATTAGGACCTATCTATTTTTGTCCTATTTACTCAAATTTGCAATAATTAACATCGATATAAGGAAATATACGTTTGAGACCACTAATGAAATTACATATAATATACAGGGTGTATCTAAATAACACCGAAAAAAATTCAAGTGTTGATTCCTTGTGAAATTTTGGCAAATGAGGTTCATATGAAAATGTGTCATAACTTACTTCGTTTTTGAGATACAGGATGTTGAAGTTGAAGGTATTAATTGTTTCTATTTATAACCCCCCATGGTGCCAAAATTCAGGATGGTTGGTTAGTAACAAAGTCCCAAAATATCAAAATGATTATAATTTGAGTTATTGAGTAATCTCAAAGGAAGTCTCGAAAACACCTACATTAAAATTTGGAGTCGAATCAATTTTTAATTGTTTCCTCAAAAATTAAGCTAGATACAAAAATCACACAGAGGATAAAAAAGAACATGAAACTGAGAAAAACCGGTGGCGTACAATGATATTCACCATAAATATCGATAAATGTACACACTGTCAAACCACTGGAAATATTATTTCCGATCTAATTGCAACCGAAGAAGCTCCATATTACTATTTACAAAACCATTGAAATTGATGGAAATACATTTGAGTAATGAATAAAAAAACGATTCTGCATGGAAATATTAATACCCTGTATCTCGAAAACGAAGCAAGTTAAGACACATGTTTATATGAACTTTATTTCCTCTGAAATATCACAAGGAATCACCTCTTGAATTTTTTTGGTGTTATTCAGATACATTCTGTATATTATTCATTCATGATTTGAAAACTTGAAAACAACAGTACAATAATTATTATTGTTTCTCATTTGTTATACCCACATACATATATTATGTTGTATATCCCTCGGTATATCCCTATTATAAATAACAAGTTTTCTTGAGGTTCCTTGAATTGAAAGAATCCCAATGATTAGGAAATAGGGGTGTGAAATTAACATCCTTTTTGTGATGAATCATCTGAATTGGTATTACAGGATTCATTAAGAATAACGAAAACAGTAAATTGAAATCCAAATGTTCACATGTCCTTGAATTTTGAACAAGATGAAATAACAAACATTATGCAACGTTCATTGTATTGTCTGCTTCCTGTAATTAAGTTGCATATTTTTGAATTTGATAAACCTTTTGATTAGGTATCAAAGTCATAATATTAATATCTATTTTTTTTTTTAGTAACCATCAAATACAAAATATACTGGTGCCAAGAAACGAAAATGTGGAAGTTCCTAACAGTGTTTCACCTCGAAATCCAATTCCATTGCCTCAGGAAAAGCCAGAAGTAGCAACTCAACTTGATGTAAGGTCTAGTTTTCTTCAATAGCAATAGCAATAAGTGATGTACCGGGTAATACGTTATGAACTACCACAACCTGTAACTCTTTTATTTTGGACAGTAGAAGAAAACAAAAAAAAAAAAGATCTTCTATTTTGGACAGTAGAAGAAAACAAGATACGTTTTCAATATCTGCGCAGATATACAGGGAGCAGCAGATAGTGTATGAATTTCAAAATATATTTCCTCACCATTGAAAAGACCCAGGGAAAGACCTTTCAAATAGTTTTTCAGAAATATCCCACCTAATATATTCATATTCAGTATTTCTCAATTTTTTGGTATTCAAAACTACAGAGTTTGATCGATTTTTGAACCACTTTCGAGAAAAAACGTCATAACAATGATTGCAAATCTAGGTAAGTTTGATATACCGGGTGTAACAAGATCATGGTACACCCCCCGTATCTCCGTTAGTTTCAGAGGTAATTGATTGCAATTTGGGATATCCCATATACATGATAAGAGACACTTTTTGACCTACAAATGTTTGTTTTTCCAATTCCGGTTTCGCCGGAAGTGATACCAGCTCTCGATTTTCAAATGGAACACCCAGTATATTATTACATTTCTGAAATCTGCATAATTTTCTGAATCCAATGATACCACATAAGTGACATTTCAAACGTAAGCATTTTTAATATTTCAATTTTTAGTTTTCTATTTAAGAGGAAGTTGTACTATGATATAAAGCAATAATGCAAGGGTTTCGTAGTCCCTAAATTTTCAGGGTCATTTTTCATTTTGAGTGGATGAAAAAAATTGTACATATTCGTGAAGATCTCATCTATGTTCCTGTCGTCTTACTTTTTCGAAAATCGATTCGATTCTTCCAAAAAAAAATTTGGAAAATCATCAAAAAACACGTTATTTTGCGATTTTTTTTAAAAGAAACTGAATCCAATTTCGAAAAAGTGAGACGACAGGAACATAGATTAGATCTTCATATATATGTACTAATTTTTTCATCCACTCAAAATGAAAAATTAGCCTAAAAATTTAGGGACTACGAAACCCTTGCATGGCAACAATTTGTATCCAGAGAGTGGCGCCGCTCTCAGAATTGATAGGAATTAACATTTATGAATGGAGATGAAATATACATTCCTTATTTGCAATGTTTACGAGGGTCTGGCATGTGTAAAAAATTAAAATTTTATAATTTCAGTGGGATATCAAATTATCATCATTTCATATCATTTCAGACTGCTCCAATATTACATAGAAATTGAAGAATATATGTTAACACATCAGTTATGTTACGGTGAGGTTCTCACAGATAATATTTCTTGGGTTCTCGAAACATGGAATATTTTGAAAAATATAACGTTATAAACGTTTAGATTACCTCGGGAATAATGACGGTCGAATCAGAAACAATTGTGGTAACGAAAAAAAATCTACTTCCATCCAGTTCTAGGCATATCAAAAAAATATTTATCGCAATAAAAATGAATGCGCTTTTTTCATCGGTATCAAAGTTTTTTCCACGACGACTCATTAGCGCTGCGGTTTGACCAAAGATCTTTTGACCCTCGCCGCATGATTTACGACCTTTTATAAAAATAGGTACCGCTGTTTGCTGTTTTCGTAACTTCAAAGCTACCAATGGAAAAGAAGCGCGAAAACCTTTCAGCATGCGGGGTGAGATAATTATGTATTTCCAAAGATTACTGAATGTATTTCCATGTATTTCTGGAGCAATCATTCATGATTTGTGCACATCAGCGGGAGTATTGCGATTTTGAAAATTTTTCAACAATGACGCGTGCATGGGGCGTATAATTTGCTCAGAGTATGCTGACCGAGCATTTCTGATTCGGTTGTTTTTTTCAAATTGCATATTTGAATATAATATAGATATTGTATAGATACCACCAGTGGAATAATGTCGATCAACCCTTTCAGAAGGGTAGTTTATTTTTGCTGTTTTTCAAAAATCCTTGCTGACCGAGCATTTCTGGTATACGATTTTTTGCTCCAAATTGCATATTGGTATATAATATATAGATATATAGATGCAACCAGTGGACTGATTCTGATCAACCCCTCCAGAGGGATAGTTTATACTTGCTGTTTTTCAAAACTCCCTTGCGGACTGAGCATTTCTGGTACGAGTTTTTGCTCCAAATTGCATATTGGTATATATATAGATATATAAATGCCACCAGTGAGATTATTTCGATCTACCCAACAGCAGAACTGAATTACCCCTCTGAAAGAAAATACGATATTATAGGGATCCCCAAGATTTATATTGAATACGTTTTACCAGAAATTTTAGATAGTGGAACAAATAAGGGCATAACAGTATGGGACAGAATGAAAAATTTAAAATAAAATAAATCTTAAAAATCTCCTGTTTTTTTATATTTGTTTCACAAAATTTGGGTAATTCTGGTACAAGAAATCGTCCCAACTAATATTATTGAATACTGTCTGTAGGTTAATCGAGGAGGTATGGTTTATTCATTTTACTTGATTTTTTCTCTCCTCGTTTTTATTGAATAAAAATATGCGTATTATTTCAATATATTTGTAGTGGGATACAAATCAGATGATTAGAAAGGTTGTTTTGCCATAACATCATTTCTATAAAATATGTTTTTACCATGAATATTGATCAAGGAACTTTCATTATTTTATTTATACTTCTTTTTAGTTCGGCTATCCATGAAAACGGGATTCTTCAGTTTTTCGAACTATTCTACTAACTTATTCTCTACTTCTATTTAGTTCGGCACTCTATATATCTCTTTATTTTTTCATTTATTTACTACTCACTTCTTTTCAGTTTGGCTGTCTATAAAAACGTATCTTCATTAGTTTTTGAAACTACTATGTATTACAATAGCTGATACCTAGCAGACGTTTTGGTATATTATACATTTTCTTTTTGAAAATATTTTTTTAGTTATATATTCATCAACACACTTTTATTATTTTGTTTTGAACTTCTGTTTAGTTTGGATATCCATGAAATCGTGTTTCATCAGTATTTCAAACTACTTTTTTTATTTTCTACTTCTTTTTACTTCGACAATCTATCTCGTTTTTTAAACTATACTCGAGACTATACTATCAATTTTCTACTTCTATTCAGTTTGGCCTCGAGTTTGGCTGTCTAAGAAAGCGTGTTTCATTATAGTTTTTCAAACTACTATTTATTACAAAGCTCTTTCACCATATTGGATCCGCCATCTCGAATTTCCTAATTTTAAAGAATAAAATCATAATCTCCAACCTCGAGAACCCCCAGATACCAATTTTGAATGGAATATGACCATAATTACAAAACTCGTCCGCCATATAGGATCCGCCATCTTGAATTTCCAAAATTTGACGAAAGAATCATAATCTCCGACCCCGAACACCCCCAAATACCAATTTTGAATGGAATCGGATAACAATACTCGTTTGCCATATTGGATCCGCCATCTTGAATTTTCGATTTAAAAAATAGATTACGACCGATTCTCATACCTACCGAATCAGCACAACAAATTTCATACGGATCGGTCGAGCCGTTTCGGAGGAGTACTGATTTCCTTTCGTGCGCTCCAAGCGATAAAAAAGAAAAAAAAAAAGATAAATCGGAGCTAACTGAACATATCCTTACTGAAGATGGACAACATATGGCAGAATAATAATAATAATGGAATAATATCAAAATCATAGGAAAGGAAGTTAACAACCAAAAAAGAAAAATCAAGGAATCCGCTTGCATTCTTCTGAACGGAGACAATAGCATTTCTTCCTGTTCAGTTGATATAGATAGAACATGGTATTCACTACTGATGAGGGCTGAACATAACAATGGTAGATTCAAGATCAATTAATGAAAACATCCTGTAACTCATTTGTAGACTAAAATCACCCATTCATATGCCAACATCAGTATGACACTGAAAACTGTCAAACTATAACCAGCACAACTTCCAAAGAGAAATATTTTGCATTTTCATGTTGAGAACGGGAGCAGATTCGGTCCCGAAACGTCCAAAGATAAGTAAAGATTCGATATTTTTTCAATATATCTATATTTCTTCCCTTCAAACATCATCTGATTTGTCCCAGTACAAATTTGAAATTATATAATAATATTGAAATAATACGCATATTTTTATTTTATAGAAATGGGGAGAGAAAATTACAAAAAAACCAAGTAAAATAATATTATAGAATTATTGATTTTCCATTTCTGCTTTCAATATTATTATATTATTTACACTTATAACTTCAAATCAATCAATAAGCAAATAACAATTTAATATCGATATAATTTGAGGAGAAATTAGTATCGACAGAATACAAAAGCAACAGCTTTACAGTCGTGTGAAAATCATTGTAAGATACCTCGGAATATACTGACAACAGAGTTCTTAAAAATGAAAAAAGATATTGCATCAACTTCAAAATCGGAATGATTTTTCTTGCTATTTGCAATCCGGAATGAATTCACCTCGCTGGATTTAAATGAACGCATCCATTACCCAGATGACATCTTTTTTCAAGCTTATAACGAGTAACGACTTGCACTGCTAGTCGACAGTCGAACGATTGGAGCGTTCTTCGCAATGTACGCCAAGTCGACATGTCAGCACGCAGCGGTCGCCGCGTCGTACTGAAGTTTTAGACTCCCCCTCGTAATTCGGCCGAGGAACGGATTTACAAAGGAGTAATGGTTTTTTCGTCATCGGCGTAGTGTTTAAGCTCCACCCACCAGTAGTGAATTTTATACTTCTGCCTCACCCGTTGCCCCTGAGATCTAGCAGTTTTCAAAGTACCACTTCCACTTAAGTGTATGTTTCCGATTTATTCCAATTGACCCGTCTAATGCTAGAAAAATCGAAATTCCGTCAAAAATACTAAATTGCGTTTTTTATGAGCAAATAAAGTTCATCGTAATCGATTTTGGGGTAAAACTCAACTTTTTCAAATGAAACCATATTGGTACCGTGGTACCATTTATTAGTACTATTAATAAGCAATTTATTCATACCTGCTAATAAAATGTGCGATAAATATAATCAAAATCACAGCTAAAAGAAAATAAGAAAATACAATTATTTTGTTCTAATTTAATGCTGAGAAGTTACTAAGGTGGCTTTGAAAACAATGAAATTATTCCTTCAGATTGTCAAATAAATGTTTGTTGGTTTATCGGTGATGTTATTGTGTATTGGAAAAGTCTTCACATTTGTTGTTATTCACGTTCAAAATGCCGCACATGTATACAAAGGATGAAAAAGTGGACATGTTAATTATTTATGGGGAATGTAGAAAAAATGCCGTTGCGGCTAGAAACCTTTATGCCGACCGATATCCTGATAGACAATGTCCAGCGAGAAATTATTTTAATCGTCTTGAAAATCAATTCCGAAGAGAGCCTAACCATGATCCCGAAGACAACTTAATCCTTGACGAAGGAACGGAAATTAATGTTTTCACTAGAATAGAAGTTGATAAGACCGTTTCTTTAAGGCAAATTGGGTTTGAATTGGAAATTAGTCACCAAACAGTAAGCAGAATCTTGCACAAACATAATTATAAATCTTTCAAATATCAATTACACCAGCACCTGTACGAAAATGATTATGAACGTAGGAGGGAATATTGCAATTGGATCTTGCAGAATAATGTGCAGCCAAACAATGATTTTATGGGAAGGATTTTATTTTCAGACGAGTCTAGCTTTACAGATATGGGATTATTCAACCGACAAAATACAAGGTATTGGTCACAAGATAATCAAAATTTATTACGGGAGGGTAACTTTCAAGTGCGGTTCGGTTTCAATGTTTGGCTTGGAATACTCGATCGTAGAATCATTGGTCCAATAATATTTGAAAGACCCTTGACTGGAGCTAGATACTTAGAATTTCTGCAAAATGACATTGAGGACAGGTTAACTGAATTACCTGTCCATTTACGACAGTTAATGTATTTCCAACAAGATGGAGCTCCTCCCCATAATTCAAGAATAGTAATTGATTAACAGGCATTCGGAGAAAACGTAATTTCGACGAATGGTCCTGTACGATGGCCTCCAAGGTCACCTGATTTGACACCTCTTGATTTCTTTGTTTGGGGCCATGTGAAAAACATTGTCTATGCAACCTCCGTTACAACTCGCGAGGACCTGGAGTTGCGAGTAAGACGCGCAATTAATAGTATAACGGCCCAGCAATTAGCGAACGTTCTTCAAGAAACAGCTATGCGAGTTCAGAAGTGTATTAACGTTAATGGACAGCATTTCGAACAATTGTTGTAATATTTCGTTTTTTTTTTGTATTTCAAAGCCACCTTAGTAACTTCTTAGCATTAAATTAGAACAAAATAATTGTATTTTCTTATTTTCTTTTAGCTGTGATTTTGATTGTATTTATCGCACATTTTATTAGCAGGTATGGATAAATTGCTTATTAATAGTACTAATAAATGGTACCACGGTACCAATATGGTTTCATTTGAAAAAGTTGAGTTTTACCCCAAAATCGATTACGATGAACTTTATTTGCTCATAAAAAACGCAATTTAGTATTTTTGACGGAATTTCGATTTTTCTAGCATTAGACGGGTCAATTGGAATAAATCGGAAACATACACTTAAATAGAAAACTAAAAATTGAAATATTAAAAATGCTTACGTTTGAAATGTCACTTATGTGGTATCATTGGATTCAGAAAATTATGCAGATTTCAGAAATGTAATAATATACTGGGTGTTCCATTTGAAAATCGAGAGCTGGTATCACTTCCGGCGAAACCGGAATTGGAAAAACAAACATTTGTAGGTCAAAAAGTGCTTCTTATTATGTATATGGGATATCCCAAATTTCAATCAATTACCTCTGAAACTAACGGAGATACGGGGGGTGCACCATGATCCTGTTACACCCGGTATATCGCTGCCTATCAATCAATATTGAAATCATTGACAAGGCCTACTTTGGAAAATCATCGAATATCGATCAAACTTTGTTAGTTTGAAAGCCCATAAATTGAGAAATACAGAAGATAAATATGTATACCCTTTTTTTGGAAAGCTCTCAGAAAGGTCTTTCTAATGGTGAGGAAATATATAGGGTATTCCATTTGAAATTCATACTTTTTTGTTGCTTCCTGTATATTCAGATAGTGGAAATGTATCTCTCAATTCGAGAAAGGAAAACAATCCCTGTAAGGCTATTCTCAATTTATTTTTACTGTCAAAACTAAAATAGGGGATGGTACTTAATAACGTGTCACTCAGTACAATGTGGTCAATTCTCGATACATAAAAATCTGTTTTATTTGAAGATACTCGTCGAAACTTGAGAAAGAAATGAAATGAAGATTTTAGATCCATATAAAACTAAAACTTGTTGAAGATGGTTTCTGAAAGATAAAAAGTCGGATTTCAAATTTGAAGAAGCCATTCATTTCGACGAATTTCTTCAAATATTTTCAAAAAAATATATAAAAGCCTCCTTCAGGAGATTGTCTAATGTTCAGGTGTATTAATAACTTCAGTTCAAAATAGAGGTCACTCTTTTACTGGAAATATCGTGGCGATTTTTGCATTATTTTTTCAGATTTTGTAAAAAGAGCCCTCCTCCTTCGGACTCGACCGCTTTCGCCAAAATCTGAAAATAATCTCTTGCAATTTTTAGTTAACAGGCTTTCTTGCAAAATTATCGGTATTTTTTATGAACTCGTGCAATTATAGCCGATAATTCTGTTAGTTCCTTATTAACTTGATGGAATTAGTAAGTAATAATTTTTCTCTCAAAATGGAAGCGTCATGTGTCTATTTTGGCAAAAGGCACTCAGTTTCATTTGACACTATGTAGACAAGCGATATCAGATGTTATGGTTGTAAACGAATTATTAATGTTTGGAATGTTTCTGAAATTTTAGTAGTAAACCTTAGTTAAAGGGCTTTCACGCTGGGTTGATAGTGACGTCAATATGTCAACACATACAGTGTTGCCAGTTGAAAGGAAATGAATGTATGACCCACCGCCCGAATATGGATATGTCTAGTGTTACGATCGACGGACGTTATAATGTTTTTTGGAACCAACTCAAAAGCCGTCCATTTATGTTTCAAAATCAGCACTCGAAGTTGATGAATGAACTTCAATATTTGTATTTAATTAACCATGCACCTAAACAATATACTGAATAAGAAATTTGATGATGATGAAATTCTTATAAAGAATAATAACTTGAAGAATGATTTATTATATAACAACATCAACAAATAATCACAGATTATGACATTAAAAATAACTTATTTCTGTACCAATACACAATCATGTCTTGAATTATTTTTTTTAATAAAACTGATCAGTATTCACATTTACTGAGTGAAAATAATAAAAACTTGGAATTCAATTTTGAGGTTATCTAATCGTTTTGAATGTTTTTCAATTTCTATGAAAATGAAATAGAAATTCGTCAATTGATTTTATGGGAAATAAATAGTGGTGCATCTACTTATATTGGAAATTATGAAATAGACAACAAGAGTTGTTCTTACTTCAATATTCTCAATATAATTCATGAGGAAAACCCACAAAAACTCATCAAACCACGTCACTACACTAAACTAACACAAATCATATTTGGATCATTCGGACAACACAAAATATCATTATTAATACCATCATTCAACTTACATCTCTCACAGCAGTCATTGGAAGTAATGGACCATCTTCAGCGCTTACGCACTCAATGGTTTAGGAATTTTGAATAAATCGAATTTCACCTATGATCCACAAATATATCACAAACAATTCCTTGAAAGTACAAATTGCCAGTAATGAATAATTCGCAGAGATCAGCTGATCACAACAAATCGCTTCTAGAAATGTCAAATAAATCTGGCATCGGTGTACAGTTTCGCCAACTCAAATCGATAACGCGGTTCGCCCATTTCGAAAGTTACTAGTATTTTTCGATGTGCAGTTTTGGCACGACATTGTTACCAAGTATTGCGCAACTATCAACCCAGCGTGAAAACCCTTTACTAACAAAAAAAAGTAATTGGATATCAAATAAAAAGTTTGTTATTTGATGTTTCTCACATTTCAGTAATAAAAACGAGTTATACCTAAGTGTCTAAGTGGATCTTCTCATCATATTAAAATCTCCAATTTATGAAATTTTCTTACCGAATCTCCCACGCAGCAGAAATATTTCCCAATAATGTTGCTGCTAGGAAGTGATAATTTCTTTATTATTATTCACCTGATTAAACAAGTGTTACTTCTCATTAGAGTATCCTGGAATAATGGTGCTTTCTCAGGTTAGTGGTGGAAAGACATTATTATACCCCGCCTACGCCTACTAGGTTTTCATTGAGAATAACAATGCATGAGGCAAATCAGTATTCTTCAGTACGTTTTTTTTTCTGTTTTTCTCTTAGATAACGAGTACTCAGCTAAACGAGCACTTTTCGCCAGAGGAAACCACCCACTGGTTGACTGCGAACAGATTCGACAAGTACGTCGAAACATTCGAACGGTTCTCCGGAGACGACATGCTGAGAATGTCCAAGGAGGATCTGATCCAAATCTGCGGCGACGCGGACGGTATACGACTGCACAACGCGATCCATCTGAAGTGAGTTGAGATTGTGTGGAAACCACCATAAATTCCTGATCATTGATAGTCCAATAAATAAAGGGAAAAAGTTAACGTTAATTACGCACTATTTTCATCTTCCGGTTGGAAGTAGCTTTTGGTACCTCATTAAACATGAGACAAAGTTTGACTGGAAAACGCGTGCGATGGCGGAGAAAATGGCCCCAAAAGACCAGAAAAATAGGTTTTCAGCCAATTATCTCCTAAAATATGGCAGTTAGAGATTTTTGGTTCAGATAAAAATTGAAGTTCAGTTAATTTTCTACAAAAATGGTCCTCATCATTTTTCTCGAAAATTTGCCCGGTTTCGAGAAAAACGGCACGAAACGTACCTCGAATAATGAGCTTCTGTGTTGTATGCCGGAGAGCACAGTCCGTGTATTTACACATCGGCGGGGGGACAAATTATTCAATACCTTTGTTAAAAATGCATATTTTCTCATGATTCAAAGTTTATGTAAAAGAGGAATTCTGCTGCTATCATACCCTGTGAATTGAGTCACGCTTGACTCTTTTGGCCATATCGGAACATGGGTCAAACTTTCTGCTCCCGGTCAATTTTGACCTCGCCAGGAATTTGTTCCTATTTTTTTTGTATTGCACTTATTTACTCAAAATTTTCTTGATTATGGGTCCTCATAAGGTCCTTTGTCATCCCTGAAATTTGTATACCCTAATTTTTTTAAATTTTTATTTAATCTTTGTTTATTGAATCCCAATTAACCATCAATTAAAAATTTATACATGATCCGATACATCATTTGAAAGCTAAGAAGGTCTACTTTTCGATTGTGCAATCACTTTTTTAGACGAAGTCGTCCATTTTTCAATAAAATTAGAAAAAGCGGGGTCAAGGAAAAAACGCACTTCTTTTTCGGTGTTTTTTTTTCTCCGTGCTCTTTATTTCTAACATTTTAACACCTTAACTAGTGTAACGGGGGAATTCCCACCTTTCCATCGATGTATATAAGTCATACCTTTGATATCCCGGGAAAAAACCAATATATCTGAATGTACACGCTATAATTTATTACTTTCGTTCCTCCGTCGTTGCGCTCGGGTCGTCTGCTACAAACCATGCGGCCACGCAGGGTATGATAGCAGCAGAATTCCTCTTTCACATGAACTTTGAATCATGAGAAAATATGCATTTTTAACAAAGTTATTGAATAATTTGTCCCCCCGCCGATGTGTAAATACACGGACTGTGCTCTCCGGCATACAACACAGAAGCTCATTACTCGAGGTGCGCTTCGTGCCGTTTTTCTCGAAACCGGGCAAATTTTCGAGAAAAATGATGAGGACCATTTTTGTAGAAAATTAACTGAACTTCAATTTTCATTTGAACCGAAAATCTCTAACTGCCATATTTTAGGAGATATTGGCTGAAAACCTATTTTTCTGGTCTTTTGGGGCCATTTTCTCCGCCATCGCACGCGTTTTCCAGTCAAACTTTGTCTCATGTTTAATGAGGTACCAAAAGCTACTTCCAACCGGAAGATGAAAATAGTGCGTAATTAACGTTAACTTTGCCTTTTTTTCCTCCTTCATTTATTGGACTATGAGCAAATTTCCAGCATTCAAAGTTTTATTCCTCTGAAAATTTTTGAGAATTCATTGAACACATATCTTTTATTTTTGTCTTGCGATCAAATTTGAGTTCAGAAAAATTCGTGAAGATATAGTTTCGGCTCCTGCATCATTCTCATGACATAACTACATACATTATTCCAGATTTTTTGGGATTTTCTCTTCAAGTATCCATTAGTGGTAGTGGGAAGTGCCATGAACACATACTAAGAGTCCTGACTCGTTGTGGATAAGGGTATGAAGGTCATTTTTGAACGTGCTACTTGAATAATTCGAAAATCGGGGCATAATCGAAAATGTGCAAATTTGTATATTTGCACAGCCTGACATTTCCTATAAAAAAGACTCTATCCGTTTTTAATCTACAACTGATAGTTTCTGAGATACATAAGATAAAATAATCGCGAAGTATTAAAATTATAATTTATAGGTATGAGATTGATGTTTAACTTGAAAAGTAATAGAAAATAATGCTCACTTGTAATACTGCTAGATGATAAATTATTTCCGGACATTTTTTCGAGCTCATGAATATTTTCAAAATCGGTAAACAAGTTACTTGGGAAAAGTATCTCCAATTTTCAAAAAGAAATCACCATCTATGATAGAAAACTATCGTCCAGTAACTGTCCCATATGGACTTTCAAAAATATTTGAGTACGCATTCCTGGATCGTCTCAATTCCTTTTTGAACCAACATAACATTTTTACACAAATGCAGCATGGATTTCGCGAAAAAAAATCTACAAAAAATACTGCCATGTTTTCATTATACAATGAAATCATAAAATATGTTGAAAAAGGTGAATGTCCGGCAGCAATCTTTTGTGATCTAAGCCGTGCGTTCGACTGTGTCAATCACCAGAAGCTCTTAGCAAAACTGGAAATGTATGGACTAAGAGGTGTCTCGCTCAGCTGGATACCTTCATTTCTCAAAAATCGGAGTCAGTATGTGTCCCTTCAGGCAACCATTAATATCGATTCTGTAATAGCTGGGTGTCATTATACGGCCTATGCTGATGACTTATCTTTGATTATTTCTGCCTCAGATACCAGAATTTTGGAAATTAAATGTATCAGTGCAGTTAGTCAGATATCAAATTTTTTTAATAATCGGTTATTTTTCAATTCAGATAAAACAGAGATTATCCGCATACATAATAGACAGAATAAAATAGAAAGATTTAGTTTCATGGTTGACAATGTAACATATCTGGAGACTAACGAAAGTGTCAAGTTTCTGGGTATTTTCCTAGACAAGTTTCTGAACTGGAATGTCCACTGTCAACACTTAATTTCCAAGCTTAATTCCCTGAAGTTTCTTTTTATGAATTTGCGCTCGGTTTTGAATAGAACTCAGCTGCTGAATATTTATTACTCCCAGGTAGAGTCCAGACTTAGGTATGGTGTCTGTTTTTGGGGTAGTTCAAGCATGGCGCAAGATGTATTCATTGCCCAAAAACGCATATTGCGATGTATTGCGAAGGTCTCGGCCACAGAATCTTGTAAACCACTCTTTATAGATTTCAATATGCTAACGTTAGTATCTATATATATGTCAGAAATATGTCTGTATATATATAAAAACAGGTCAGTTTTTGAAGTGAATAAAAATGTTCATCACTATAACACCAGGATTAAAGATCAATTTCATGTACCATTTGCTAGACTAAGAGTAACCTCCAGATCACCTGAGCACATCGGAAGAAGAATTTTCAATAAACTTCCTGACCACATAAAGAATGCAGAGCATCTTGCTCTTTTCAAAAAGACGCTAAACAGTTTTTTGATGCAAAAATGTTATTATTCGCTGACAGAATTTTTAGGCTAGACATAGGTCTTGATCTTTTAATCGTCTTTTCTACATATTTTCTGTATTTTTCCTTCTGTTCTATGTTCTGACAATTTCCTATACAATTTGTAATATTGTCTTATTGGAAAATAAAGTATTATTATTATTATTATTACTTGAATTTTCGAATGCTGACTGGAACTTCGGTCTATTTCTCGAGCCCAAAAAACTTCAGTCAAATCGGACGGGAAATGACATGCTTGAGTGCCATTTTGAATTCTGAAAATTCGATTGGAAATTCCTATTTCTCAACCAAAATTCCCGATATAAATTTTCACTTGTAATACCATTAGACGTTGAATTATTTCCGGAATAGATATTTTGAAAATTATTCAGAATCGAAAATAATTTAACATTGTTAAGAAAATTTCACACCGTATTGTCGTATTGCAATTGGGTATTAAATAATTTTTTAGAATTCATTTACTCATTTGATTTTTACGAAGGCCTGGAAGGGACACGTAAAATAAAAAAAATAACTTCAAAATTCTGAGTTTTAACTCGGAATTTTAAAATTCTACGAAGGCCTGGAAGGGACACGTAAAATAAAATTAACTCTTCAAAATTCTGAGTTTCAACTCGGAATTTCAAAATTCCGACTTATATCTCGGAATTTTACATTAAAGTTCCGACTTACTGCACGGAATTTCAAAATTCAGAGTTATAACTCGGAATTTTGGATGTGAAATTCGAATATTGGATGTGAAATTCCGAGTTATAACTCAGAATTTCAAAATTCTGAGATATAACTCGGAATTTTGAATGTGAAATTCCGAGATATAAGTCGGAATTTCAAAGTTCCGAGTTATAACTAAGAATTTAGAAGAGTTTATTTTTTTTATTTTATGTGTCCCTTCCAGGGCTTCATAAAATTCCGACTTATATCTCGGACTTTTACATCCAAAATTCCGACTTATAACTCGGAATTTTACATCAAAATTCCGACTTATATCTCGGAATTTCAAAATTCTGAGTTATAACTCGGAATATTGGATGTGAAATTCCGAGTTATAACACGGAATTTTAAAATTCTGAGTTATAACTCGGAATTTTGGATTTAAGATTCCAAGATATAAGTCGGAATTTTAAAATTCTGAGTTTTAACTCGGCCTGGAAGGGACACGTAAAATAAAACTAACTCTTCAAAATTCTGAGTTTCAACTCGGAATTTTAAAATTCCGACTTATATCTCGGAATTTTACATTAAAGTTCCGACTTACTGCACGGAATTTCAAAATTCAGAGTTATAACTCGGAATTTTGGATGTAAAATTCGAATATTGGATGTGAAATTCCGAGATATAAGTCGGAATTTCAAAGTTCCGAGTTATAACTCAGAATTTAGAAGAGTTTATTTTCTTATTTTATGTGTCCCTTCCAGGGCTTCATAAAATTCCGACTTATATCTCGGAATTTTACATCCAAAATTCCGAGTTGTAACTCAGAATTTTAAAATTCCGACTTATAACTCGGAATTTTACATCAAAATTCCGACTTATATCTCAGAATTTTAAAATTCTGAGTTATAACTCGGAATATTGGATGTGAAATTCCGAGTTATAACACGGAAATTTAAAATTCTGAGTTATAACTCGGAATTTTGGATTCAAGATTCCAAGATATAAGTCGGAATTTTAAAATTCCGAGTTAAAACTCAGAATTTTGAAGTTATTTTTTTTTTATTTTATGTGTCCTTTCCAGGCCTTCGTAGATTTTCATATAGGTTCATGAATAAAATCAGTTTGGGTCGTAGTTTGGGTAGGAATGATAGTTTCCTAGCTCACAAATTGCTAATTTCTACCTATTGTAGTTGCATGAAAATATCATTTCAGAATGTAACATATTATATTCTTTCATTTCATATCGGGTTACTCCAAGTGGTAAAAAATTGTTATTTTATCATTTAATTTTTCATACTAGTTATAGTAGTAGTAGTAAGAGGGGAGGCGGTCACCTAGCCTTGATCCCCTGCTTCACATATATGTACTTTTCCTTCTCCTAATTCTTCTTTTCGAACCTCCGTGACCTTCTGATGAAGGTCAGTATGTCCGTACTCCCTTAGGTTATTTAGATCATCCTGTTGAAGTGTATCAGCACTAAAAATTTCGAATCTTAGCATTCCATGTAACGCCCTACATTGACCCAGGTAGTGGTATATCATTTTATATGTATAATAGATGCAGTTTGGGCACCAATGGATTCTAAGCCTATCAATTGTTGATTTATACTCATTGTAGTAGCACAAAATGACCATTTTAGGACGTCAAAATATTATTCTCTGCATTAAAACGTAAAAAAAAAATTCCGATTTATTTCGCTGGTATGTGTTCCCGCGAGAAAAAAAATGCCTACTAATTGGCTATGGTGATTTGTCAAAGAAACCCAATTTGACACATCGAATGTATCTATTTAAATAATCAACAATAAGTGATCATCTTCATTATCATTTTCCATATCAAGTAACATTGCACCATTCGTACACGTATGTACAGGGTGGCCAACTAAGACTCCAGAGTTCGACTTTTCTGTTTTCTTGAAGGATACAAAAAAAATTCATGAATCAAAATTGAAGCAATAACCGAGCTTCACATTTCAAAATTTCTTTGAAATACACAGGGTGTTCCGTAAAGTCACAGCACATCAAAGCTATGTTTTTTTCATCGGAACACCCTATATTTCATTTCATTTTTGAATCCTCCCTGAAGATCTGATTTCAACGACCCATCATACTTAGGGTCTAGCAGTGAAAGTTACTGACATATAGGGTGTGCAAAATCGAGATTTTCCAAGTTCAGGATTTTTTTCTGTCGAAACTGTTCATTATTCATCAAAACGGTTTACATGTCCCTATCTCAACTTTTCACTCACTATCAATTGGTGTTCAATTGAAATTGATACAAGGTGGTCAACAAATCTAAATTTATAATTTGTTTCAATTAAATGTCAATTGAACACCAATTGATAGTGAGTGAAAAGTTGAGATAGGGACATGTAAACCGTTTTGACGAATAATGAACAGTTTCGACAGAAAACAATTCTGAACTTGGAAATTCTCGATTTTGCACACCCTATATGTCAGTAACTTTCACTGCTAGACCCTAAGTATGATAGGTCGTTGAAATCAGATCTTCAGGGAGAATTCAAAAATGAAATGAAATATAGGGTGTTCCGATGAAAAAAAACATAGCTTTGATGTGCTGTGACCTTACGGAACACCCTGTGTATTTCAAAGAAATTTTGAAATGTGAAGCTGGATTATTAATTCAATTTTGATACATGACTTTTTTTTGTATCTCTCAAGACAACAGAGAAATCGAACTCTGGAGTCTTAGTTGGCCACCCTGTACAAAGTGCCCACTGATTTGTTTCGGCGTTATTAACCATAAATTCGGCGATGCGTCCAGACTCCAGCCGTTGGCCGATAAAACAAGGCCTGCATGCTCCGTGGGTGACGTCACTTAGTCAGGCCTAACCAGCGGCTCGAAACGACAAGCGCTTATAAGGCGACCGCGTATTTCGATTTTAGTTTTAGATCATTATTGAGCCGATTTTGCTTTTTTTCTGAAGGGCTTCCGGTTGAAAGAGGATGTCAACTGAGCCCTTCTTCGCATCCCATTCGATTTTATTATGGAAAAACGAAGTTTCAAAGCAAAAACCAGAATAAAACACAAATACCCACCTACAGCAACCCATTCGAATTAAATATATTGGCAAAAATTGTAGTGATTCAATCTCATTAGAGGTAAACTTCACACCTACTTATACAGGGCCCGCAGAACATAAACTTATCATGAGATTGATCGGAAGAAAATTGGGGAAAAAGGTATTTTAGTTTGATAGACATGCCGTTTGTTATACCTAATTACCTATATTTATCTTGGAGAATTCCTATTACCTAAAAAATTACCCAGTGAGTGTTTTCAATTTCCTGTTGTTGGATTTTTTACCCAATTGGTCGTTAGACTTGAAACAATAATTTTTATGTAGAGTGTTTGTAGTACATGTTAATATAATAGTTGCAATTTGATCATTGGAATGAATTCTGCATTCATTGCCACGAGGCAAATGACCGTTTTCAGAAAGAAATTTGAGAATGTGTTGAGTCAGAAACCAAAGAGTCCAATGCATTCGAAATATGTTTCAAAGCCCTCTTTTTCTGATTATCAAGACATTTTCCCGAATTATGTATCTCGTTTTTATCTATTTCAATTAGTAATTCCTTGATTTGATTGATATTATTAGAGATAAAAGGTGTTTTCAGATTGGCTTTTAGAGATGTTTGTATCGCTAGGTCATACAAAAATGATTCCACATTCAAAACAAAATCAATCACAACCGAATATGTAATTACGGGCCCTGGAGAATAAGACAATTTGAATAATGTTACTTTTTGCAAATCGATAATTTTGAACCACTTTTCGGGCAACTGAAAAGGCTCTAATAAAACTAGAAATTCTTGAAATTCTGTGTAGCAAAATGATTTTTGGTAATTTTCGAATTCAGTTTTACTTTTGGTAAGTGCTTGTGCCGAATTTTTAGTCTCTATATAGTATCTCAAGTTTTTCATCACGACTTGTGCGTAATTTTACATCTTTCGATAAATAAGATGGACAGTTGGGAAATTGAGTGGGAATAACATCTCGTTTGAGCCTAGGAATTTTCAAATCTATTGTTACAGTTTTGCCAGTTTTTGAATCGGTTGCAGTAGATGAAGTAATAATATCATCTTTAGTAAAATGTAATTCACATACTTTACTGTACTTAGATGGAGTCGTAAAATCCTTGCGGTGAATTGCATGTACCCACTTTTTCGATAGTTCCTTGTCCAATGGGAAACTAAAAGCATGAACTTTTGGACCACCCACATAATTCCCCCGACAAAAGGGAACACAACACTTGTACAACACGAAATATGTCACAAAACAGTAATTTCTCCGCCAATTATTTTGATGAATAAACAACAAGAGCATTCGAGCACACGCGATTTACCTACGCCAACGTTGTTAAACAAAAACAAACTGACGATCGATCGACGCGAATGCCTTGGAAGATGGCCTGAGTATGCGACGTCACGAGCTGTTTACGTCAGAGTCTGCTGGCCTTGTTTTATCGGTGGTAACGCTCCAGCTCCCTTCAGCCCGACAATGGCTGAAGAAATAAAAGTTCAACTCCCCTTTTTCCTCTGTTCAAGGACCATCGCCCCGAAACTAAAGATCTACGTGCGCCCCGACGACCCCGCCGCCGTCTTCACCGCCATCTTCCTCTCATCCCACAGCCGCCTCGAACTGACGCGCAAACTCGCCGCCGTAGCAGGCGTACCACAAACGCGCGTGCGCGACGTCCACGTCGAAGGACCGCACGGCGTTCGCGTCCACCTCAGCGACGACCTGTTGCGCCACGTGCGCCACGAGGCCATGTTCCAGCTGCAGCGCGAGGAGGAGGAGAAGGGAGATGAGGGGATGGGAGGGTGCGTGTTGCTGTTGAAACGGTTCAAGTGAGGGGGCGCGCATGCGTGGCGACCTCTTGCGCCAAAGGTGGCTTGAGGTAGTGTTCGCGTTGCAATCGGTGGGGGATATACGGGGTGATCTACGGTGGATGGCTTATTTGAAGTATGTGGAGAACGAAAAGAGAGAACATTCTGGAAATTGGGATGCTTATTGAATATTTTCATCGATACAGTGTTGCCACTTCTATCAGAAACAACTAGCAACTTTGTTATATCAAATGGAACACCCTGTATTTCACTGTATTTTCTGATTCTTCCCGAGAAGCTGATTTCATCAATGCATCACACTTGGGGTCTAGCAGGAATGATTACAGATATACAGGGTGGGCCACCAGTAACGCCTCGTTCTCTAGAAGGCTAACCACTTATCTTCTTGGAATTCTTCCTCTCTAGGAAGTTGCATGTCAACATAGGCCACCATTTGAAATTATTTTGAAACATACAGGATGTCGCCAAAAATCACAAAACACTGAAGTTGAACTTTTTTCAATCGAACGCCCTATATATTATTTCATTTTGAGATTCTCCCTGGTGAGCTGATTTCAACAATCTATCATACTTGGGGTCTAGCAGTTATAATTACTGAGATATAGGGTGTGAGAAATCGAGATTTTCCAAGTTCAAGAATTTTTTGTGTCTAAACCATTCATAATTGGTCGAAACGGCTCACATGTCCCTATCTCAACTTTTGATCAACTATCTACTGACATTTAATTGAAACAAATACAGGGTGGTGCAGAATTCAGAATCTTGATCACTCGGTATATGTCCCAATTAAATATCAGTAGATAGTTAATCAAAAGTTGAGATAGAGACATGTAAACCGTTTTGACCAATTATGAATAGTTTCGACACAAAAAATTCTTGAACTTGAACACCCTATATTTCAGTAATTATAACTGCTAGACCCCAAGTATGATGGGTCGTTGAAATCAGCTCATCAGGGAGAATCTCAAAATGAAATAATATATAGGGTGTTCGATAGAAAAAAGTTTAACTTCAGTGTTTTATGGTTTTTGGGGACACCCTGTATGTTTCGAAATAATTTTAAATGGTAGCCTATGTTGACATGCAACTTCCTAGAGAGGAAGAATTCCAAGAAGATAAGTGGTTAGCCTTCTAGAGACCGAGGCGTTACTGGTGGCCCACCCTGCATAGGGTGTTCAAGATTTTTCAATTTTAGGATTTTCTGTGTCGAAACTTCATTATTGATCGAAACGGCTTGATAAGCCAAAGGTCTCCTTTTTTTGCGAAGTAATGAATGAAGTACTGTGGAAGCATTTACTGTAGGGGCCGTTAGTGATTCGCTATTTCAATTGTTTGTTTTTTTTTCAGGGTTTTCTGAATTGCTTTTGCATGGATTATTTGTAGCGCTCTGTCTATTTTGCATCCTGTCCCTAGATGAACCAATTCAGGTAGTATTGAATTGGTGTGGTTCAAATGAACTGGTGCTAAAGGGTTGCCAATTTGCGCGTTGTTACGCAAATCATAGGTGTGGGAAATTAGAATTCGGTGCGAGTTATTGCAGCCATTTCATTTTCTCGTATGCTCTATTAGACAGAGCAGTCATTGTTTGTGCTTTGACATTTCAAGGGTTATGAAATTCATTATAAAATAATAATACAATGAGTCATTGTGTTTTCAGATAAGACAGTAAAATAGGAACAATTTTGTGTTGAAAAAAAAAAACTATTTTTTTATCATTCTTGCGTGGGATATTTTTCATGAGAAATCTGTCTTGATATTGATATTTTGAAGATGTTCGAGAGTGAATCAATGAAGACCATTTGGCAACCGTGCGGGGTGATGCTCTAACCGCTTCATGAGAGTTGAACCCAGCCGGTTCAACTCAGAAGTTTTCCGTAGGACACTGTTCAATTTCTATTATTATTATTATTGGTATTATTACTACATTATCATTAGGTCGCTTACTAGTATGTAGTGTTAGTTGGACTGATATAAACTATTATTTAGACCGCTAGATGTCCCATATCCCAGCAACCCGGAAACTTCGTTCATATTACTCGCCTGAAAACGTTCCTACTCAAAGCTTTGGAACTTTCAAACTATTGTACATGACAGCGAGTCATGTTTCTTGCTGTTCGGAAACCTAATTGAGAGTGAATTAGATATGTGACTGATATGATGCACATGATTCATATGTAGGAATCTATTATACAAATCATTTTCAGTCGATTGCACCCCTGTGATGCTAAAGGTTTACGTGACAAAAATTTCGTTAGGACGGTGAGAATAAACACTTGTTTTCTTTCTGTTACCACATCCAGTTAGGTGTATGTCAACGAACGAGGATATTTTTCGATAACATTTGTTATTATTGCCAATACAGTGTGTCCCACTTACCATGCTCACCATGGGTATCTTTTTAACGGTGAGAGATACGAGGTCGGTTAAATGACACCAAATGTGGAGTTTGTCAAGGCCAACTATAATTTGAAAAAATATTTTGATAAAATCTATTCGTTTTTGTTTTATACGCAAATAACAGATTTTGATCATTTTCATGTCTCCTCCATAACTTCTTTATTTATGAAAATACTCAAATAGGAATTCCACATTCTCATGGCAGTTTTTCAAAGTGATTTCGAAAAAAATATGAAATTTATACCAACTCTCCTAGAATTTGAGATATCAGCACCAACTTTAGTTTTTCAAATGTAGGTCATAGCTCACTATGACTTAGTTACAAATAACTTTGTTTTCTCTTACAGATGATATGTCGCAGTAATAGTTTTGTGTTGATAACAACGGAGTTATCTTCATTTATACAAAAACAAAAAATGATTTGGATGCCGCCATCTTGAATAAATAAATTTTAACAAAAAAATTATGATCTCCGACCTCAAAAACCCCCACTTACCAATTTTGAATGGAATCGGACCAAATTTTGTCCGCCATCTTGGAGCAGCCATTTTTTTTAATTTCAACAAAAATTCCATAATTAATTGTCACCGAAATTATGAACACCTGCCAAATTTCAAGTTAATCGAAGTTATGGAATTTTTGCTGAAATTAAAAAAAAAATGGCTGCTCCAAGATGACGGACAAGATTATTTTGTCCGATTACATTCAAAATTGGTAAGTGGGAGTTTTTGAGGTCGGAGATCATAATTTTTTTGTTAAAATTTATGTATTCAAGATGGCGGCATCCAAATCATTTTTTGTTTTTGTATAAATGACGATAACTCCGTTGTTATCAACACAAAACTATTACTGCGACATATCATCTGTAAGAGAAAACAAAGTTATTTGTAACTAAGTCATAGTGAGCTATGACCTACATTTGAAAAACTAAAGTTGGTGCTGATATCTCAAATTCTAGAAGAGTTGGTATAAATTTTATATTCTTTTCGAAATCACAAAACTGCCATGAGAATGTGAAATTCCTATTTGAACATTTTCATAAATAAAGAAGTTACGGAGACATGAAAATGATCAAAATCTGTTTTTTGCGTATAAAACAAAAACGAATAGATTTTATCAAAATATTGTTTCACATTATAGTTGGCCTTGACAAACTCCACATTTGGTGTCATTTAACCGACCTCGTATCTCTCACCGTTAAAAAGATACCCATGGTGAGCATGGTAAGTGGGACACACTGTATACTTGAATACAGTATCCTAACCAGAGATTTGCGTTAAATTTGTTTCGTTTTCGTTATCCAGTGGTGTACTATTTGATTTTTTTAACATTACTGGGGCGACTTGAAATATGGTTAGAGCTTCAAAAAAGAAACCTGGGACGCAGAACTAACAGAATTATAGTCAGGAGTCTCTGCATGTGACTGTTACAGTTTAGAGGAAAGGAAATGGAAGCCTGATGATGGCAATGTCAGAAAGCTCTGGAATTCCTGTGACTACCATCGACAATTGTTTTGTCCCCACCTAGGTGTTTGTTGTGTTTGTTTATTAGTTTTAATCAATTTTGTTTTATTATAATTTAATTAATAATCAACCCAAAATCGATCATATTCATCGCGAGAATGCCTTTAAAATCTTTAGCGCGTCCTCTGTGGTGAAACTAGGAAGAGGAGATGAGACAATTCGGTACGATCTCCACGCAAGAAAGCAAGTGTGGTCCGCTATTCAAAATTCCATAATTTTGTGAAACAGACAATAATGGTGTTGTCACAGGTGTTGTGATTCCGGCTTCCTCATTATTCCCGTGTGTGTGCTGGCCAGCAATGATCGCGACAGAAAATAAAAAGGTAAGATTTTAAAGGCTCGTTTTATAAGTTGTTCGGTTATTATTTTTCTCAAAAGCGACAATCCATTTCATCCCTCCTGAGTAAAATTTCTATTTGAAAATTCTAGTTTCTTAACATTGGAACAATAAGGAACACCTTCTGAAACAATGATATTTTATACTTGGTTTCAAGTATTTTCTTCAACTGGCAAAACTCAATTGTTTTTTTCAATTCTCTTCGTTCCATGTCGCCCCCATGCGACCATATCTTGAAAATTAGACCGAGAATTGACGATTTTTCATGTCGCCCCAGAGTGGGCCGACTTGATACAACAACTTTGATTTTTTTCACAAAAATTGGCCAGGCATTGAATTTTGTCGATGCCTGCCATATATTCCTTTCGGTCCAGAGTAATGTATTATGATTTTTATAATCACTGAATTGAAGTATTCGACGGTTCAGGGCCAATAATCTGACGGAAACATTCCAAGTCGCCCGGTATCCAGTTCGACCTGGTGTTCCTCGTGAGGGTCTGGTTCTTATGGCATTAGCGGTCTAGATAGTAGTTTCTGTTTGTGGTTAAGTTCTTATTTACAAGCTGAATTGAACTTGCGCATACCACGTGATCGATTTGGGAAAGTTGGTAGACGAGTATGCGCAGTACATTCATCGTACTGGTCCGGTCATAGATAATTTAACTTACCTCGTATCATCGCTGTTACTTCAATATGCCGTATGACAAGAAACAAAAACAGCTGGAGTATTGGGTTCGAATCCAGTTATTCTTCCAGAAGTGTTTATTGAATGAATATACTGTGAAGGTGTTAATTGTTGAAGCTGATAAAGATTCGCTATTTCAATGTAGTTTCATTTCCGCTAGTTCTACGCCACGTGTTGACTTGCTAACAAATTCTAATCATCATATTAGCTAGAATCGTTCTTATTGGTCGTGAACGGAAGTTAGGGCAGATCAAGTTCGTGCGAATATAGTTGGCCGGAATGTCAGCAAGAGCTAGACGACTACTGTTTCGTTCGACCTGGCCTCATAAGTCGTACTCGGTCTGCTGACAAATGGAGAACATCACGCTTCGGGCATATCCGCCCAATTAGAATCTGTCGGGATTTAAATGACGATTTTTTTCGTCACATAGTGGTGCACAATTCATTCGTCTGATGACAGTCAGCAGGCACTATATGAACCAGATTTCATTACTCAGAAGTCTAGAGGTGAATGGGGAAGATCACTGAGGTATACAATCAATATTATACAGGGTGTTCTGATTTGTTATACAAAAAATTCAACAGTGTGTTGTACTCGTTGAAATAATTAAAAAAGCATACAATACAGAAAATATGAGTCTGAATATTGTTTTTTGATGAACAGTTCGAAACTGTTTGAGATAAATCAACAAATTTTCTCACCGATACTGAACCTTTTTCGCTAAGATGAAACAGTTAGCATAGCACTTTTGTTTTTAATTATAATCGAATATTATTGAACTGAAAATGTAATGATATCTCCGAACCGATTTAACTCGAAAACGGCGAACGTATCAAAAACTCACAAGTTAGCTTTTTCAGGCAGAGATCTATGTATTTTCAGATTTTGAACTACAAATCAAAAAAGAAATTCACAATTGGGGTGATTTTTTCTTCACCACCCCCAGATTCAGCCGCTACTGAATTGCTCGACGAAATGTTTTTTTTTTTTTGTATCTTGTAGAACGTAAAAAGTTGAGTATCTGTGATGAATTTTGTGGATTTATTTCAAACCGTTTCGAAATTCTCTTCAAAAAACAATATTCAGACTAGTATTTTCAACACCCTATATCTCCGAAACGACGCGTTTATAAGTATATGTTCACTTAGACTTCTTTTATTATTTCAACGAGTACAACATATTGTTAATTTTTCTGTATTACAAACCGGACCACCCTGTATATAGAGTATCAAAATCAGCAATGAAAACTTTCAAAATCTCATTTACTGGTAGTTTTTTGGATAGAGCTCACGATGTCGTTTTAAAAAATCATTGGTCTTCCCCATCAATGATGAATATTATTGCCATTATAATAATATAATCACAAGATTTTGTCTGCAATGAGGGTATAATTATTGAAAGGTGAATGAAATTCATTGATTAATGATTATTTTAATTATGACTACCTCTTGCAATTGAAGATTCTCTGCAAGGTTTTTCTTAACTGCTCCAAGCGATAAAAAAAATGGTGAACATTTAAAAACTGCGAGAAAAATCTTCCAATCAAATTCTCATCATTCTCGTTGTTATTGAAATATAAATATTGTATTCAAAGTATACAATGCTTATGGAATTGATGATGTTTATATGAGTTATTATATGTCGATAATACTCGAAATTTCAAAATGAAAAAATTGTTTTAATTGATTATGGTATAGTTTATTTTTCGTTTCATTTAGCACATACACATTTATAAAGTTTTGACGGATTGACCATATGTTTTTATGATATATTATGTATTTATCCTTGTTATCTAGTAAGTATTAGACAGATTTAGTTCAGTGTCATGATTTTTCTTTTTCTTTTACTGGGTACGCTCAAATTCGAGTCTGCACTGTTTTTTTTTTGTTCTAACCAGTAAGATGTTGAATTGATTAGGGTGCCCATATATTCACAGCATTCACAGTATCAGCTGTTTTTTTTTCATTTTCATTCGTTTTCTTAGCATTTAAATACTGGACCTCAATTAACATTCCTTGTTTACTGAATTCCTATTAAGGATATTTAGCAATGTTATAAATGTTCTCTCAATTCATGTCTTACTGTTTGGTATTCCAATATTTATCACTATTATACAGTGTGTCCCACTTACCATGCTCACCATGGGTATCTTTTTAACGGTGAGAGATACGAGGTCGGCTAAATGACACCAAATGTGGAGTTTGTCAAGGCTAACTATAATAAAAAAAAATATTTTGACAAAATCTATTCGTTTTTGTTTTATACGCAAAAAACAGATTTTGATCATTTTCATGTCTCCTCCGTAACTTCTTTATTTATGAAAATATTCAAATAGGAATTTCACATTCCTATGGCAGTTTTTCAAAGTGATTTCGAAAAAAATATGAAAGTTATACCAACTCTTCTAGAATTTGAGATATCAGCACCAACTTTAGTTTTTCAAATGTAGGTCATAGCTCACTATATGACAGTTACAAATAACTTTTTTGTCTCTTACAGATGATATGTCGCAGTAATAGTTTTGTGTTGATTTTAC